TCGATCCCGGGACTCCAGGATCATGACCTGAGCCGAAGGCAGTCGCTTAACCGACTGAGCCACCCAGGCGCCCAAGAATGGAGCTGCTCTTATCACTGATGTGGTGCGATCAGGCTACTGCAGAGTTTTAGGAAAAGCACTTCTTCCAGCCTGTCATCATGAAGGCCAAATTATCAGCAGAAGAGCTGAGGCGAAGATCAAGGGTGTGTGTCCAAGTAGCTTGAAGCCACATGGAGGGAGGGTCATTAAATGTTAACAAGTGCTTTTCCAAAACAAACAAACAAACAAAACCCAAAATGCATACATAACATAACTACAGTTACAAGTGATTGCTTTATATAATAAAGTATATAAACAACAACTTAAAAAATGAAAATAAAGTATAAAACTTGTTTTCATCAGTCCATCTAAGCCAAAGTTTTAAGTAAATAATAAAGCATACATTAAAATTTAAGAACCAGTACTCAGGGGCGCCTGGGTGGCTCAGTCGGTTAAGCCGCTGCCTTCGGCTCGGGTCATGGTCCCAGGGTCCTGGGATCGAGCCCTGCATCGGGCTCCCTGCTCGGCGGGGAGCCTGCTTCTCCCTCTCCCTCTGCCTGCCTCTCTGCCTACTTGTTCTCTCTCTCTCTCTGTCAAATAAATAAATAAAATCTTTAAAAAAAAAAAAGAACCAGTACTCAGTATGTCAGATATCACTTAAATAGTTATGAAGAATTTCACTTTTTTAATAAATATTGAGTTAAGTACCTTCTCAGGGAAATGTATGAGGATATAAACATTAATCTGATATTGTCTCTAATCTCAAGTGGCTTAGAGTCTAGTGAGGGAAATTAGTCAGGATAAATCTAGATAAAAGGAATAAACACCATTAGTAAGGTATAGCTCAAAAATTATGGGAGTTGGGGGGCCTGGGTGGCTCAGTCGTTAAGTGTCTGCAATCGGCTCAGGTCATGATCCCAGGGTCCTGGGATCGAGCCCCGCATCGGGCTCCCGGCTCGGCGGGAAGACTGCTTCTCCCTCTCCCACTCCCCCTGCTTGTGTTCCCTCTCTCTCTGTGTCTCTATCAAATAAATAAATAAAATCTTTAAAAAAAAAAAAAAATTGGGGGAGTTGGGAGGAAAAGATTACTTCCAGGAAGGGATTCTGGGAAGCCTTCCTAGGAAAGACGTCCAATTTGAGCCTGTAAGTACTAATGGGAAATCCACGCAGACAGCGGAACACCCAAGGGTAAGCAGAGGTGCAGCGGGAGGTCAGGAAAGATCATGGAGATGAAAGGTATGTCATGAGCGTTTATGAAACCATTAAAGACAAGTTCCTGGGTGGGATTGGGAGGATTACATGGAGAGAGTGGGGAAACAAGGAAAAGCCAGAGGCAAGAAGCCTAAAGAGGATTTCAGGGAAGGGAACAAATGATAAGACCAAGGGGTCATACAGAGTAAGAATCTGGTCTCTCGGAGGCTAGCGGGACCTCTGAGGGCAGTGGATTTAATGGAGAGTGAGCAGTCGGGAACGGAGGTCCTGAGGCAGTTCTTAAGGAGTCTGCTGATCAGGCGAAGGAGAGAAGCTTCGGGGAACAGGAGAAGCTAGAAAAGGTCCTTTTGCCATTGCTTTTGGTGCTTTTTCTTTTTCCTTTAAAAACAGAAGTCAACATGGTTATTGGCTGTGAGGAAAAAAAAGTAGATGAGAAAATGTTAAAGTAAGAGAGAAGGGATAGATGATGAGGCACAAAGGAGGGGTTGGCGTGAGGATTATAAATGACAAGTTTAGCTTTGGAGAGGAAGAGAGACAGTTGTTTCTGGGATAAAAGAAGGCGAAGTCGCAGTGTGTTTAGTACAACAGTGCTCACAAACAGCCTGATTTCTTCAGTGAAGTACGAAACAGCTTCAGTGCAGACGTGGGGTTTAGAGTTCACTTACTGGGGAGAAGATCAGAATAAGCGCTACAGAGACTGGTACACAATAGCAGTTAGAAATTTTTCTCCAATTCCAAGAGACTCATAAGAATAGAGGCAGGTTAACCTTTCCCCTAAACTTCCTACTGGAGTGAAATAGAAAACAGATATGCTAAGAGAAGTGGCTAAGTTAAAGAAATATTGATGTTAAAACTTTTAAGAAACAAAAATAAAATAGGAAAAGGGAAAGCATTCAAATGCCCTTCAGACATTTTAGATTTTTTTTTTTTAATCATAGGCAGGTACTACCTATTCAAAAATATGGACACTTTTAATTTTAAAAAGACCTGTTTTTTAAAGCACTTTAAGCTTTAGGTTCCACGGAAGCAGAAACCCTACCTGGTTTAGGTGCTTGGTTTACAGTAGGTCCTCCATAAATGTTTGTTACATGTTGATTGTTAAAAGCTACACGAACAGAAAGAAAGGGCAAAGAATAAGCATGCAAGGGGCACCTGGGTGGCTCAGTCGTTAAGCATCTACCTTCGGCTCAGGTCATGATCCCAGGGTCCTGGGATCGAGCCCCGCATCGGGCTCCCTGCTCAGTGGGAAGCCTGCTTCTTCTTCTCCTATTCCCCCTGCTTGTGTTCCCTCTCTCACTGTGTCTCTATCAAATAAATAAAAAAATCTTAAAAAAAAAAAAGTTTAACAACAATAACAAAAAAAGAATAAGCATGCAAGGTGACAGACAGGTCTATACTGGGTTGAATGAAGGCCCCCCAAAAATATGCCCACACCTGAATCCCTAGAACCTTTGATTATGACCTTATTTGGAAAAAGAGTCTCTGCAAATGTAATGAAAGTAAGGATCTTCAGATAAGATCATTCTGGATTATATGGGCAGGCCCGAAATCCAATGACAAGTGTCCTTGTGAGAGAGAGAAGAAAAGACACAGACACACAGGGGAGAAGGCTGACAAGGCAGAGATCAGAGTCACAGAGCCACAAACCAAATGAGCACCTGGAGCCATGAGAAGCTGGCAGAGGCAAGGAACAGAGTCTGCCTTAAAGCCTTTTGAGAGAGCCTGGCGCCATTGCTACCTCAATTTCAGACTTCTAGCCTCCAGAACTTGAGAGAATAAATTTGTTATTTTCAGCCCCCCAGTTTGTGGTAATTTGTTATGGTAGCCCTAGGAAACTAATACAACTAATACAAGGTTAGTACAACTATACAAATTATAATACCAGATTAAATGGGCTGGTTTCCCCTATAAAACAAAAGATCACAGGGTGCCTGGCTAGCTCAGTTGGTTAAGCGCCTGCCTTCGGCTCAGGTTAGGATTCTGGAGTCCCAGGATTGAGTCCCACATCAGGCTCCCTGGTCAGCAGGGAGTCTGCTTCTCCCTCTGACCCTCCTCCCTCTCATGCTCTCTCTCTGTCATTCTCTCTCTCTCAATAAATAAATAAAAATCTTTAAAAATAAAAAAAAAAAAAAAGATCACAGTAAGAATTTCATTACCAGGTAATGGAAGGACTCTGTGTGCAAAAGTGAGCAAAGCTGAAGTTTCTATTTAGATAAATAAAGCACAGATGGGCAAAGTCACTACATAACAATAAGATACAAAATAAATAATAACAACTATATCAATAGAAAATAAAGATAAGGGCGCCTGGGTGGCTCAGTTGGTTAAGCGACTGCCTTCGGCTCAGGTCATGATCCTGGAGTCCCGGGATCGAGTCCCACATCGGGCTCCCTGCTCTGCGGGGAGCCTGCTTCTCCCTCTCCCCCTCCCCCTGCTTGTGTTCCCTCTCTCGCTGTGTCTCTCTCTGTCAAATAAATAAATTAAATCTTTAAAAAAAAAAAAAAAAGAAAGAAAATAAAGATAAGACACAATAATTACAAGTGAAGGCTAATTTATTAGACTATTACTAAAAACAGTACAAACTTAAGAAATCCAGTAACAAAACATAAACAAAGGAGAAGCATTAGTATTATGAAATATTTCAAACATGCCAAAAAAAGATTACAGAATAACAAAATAAATATCCTTTAACCTAACACCCAGTCTTAACAAATATTGACATTTGGCCAAATTCACTTTAGCTTTTTTTTTTTTTGAAGATTTATTTATTTGTCAGAGAGAGTACAAGCAGGGGGAGCGGCAGACAGAGGGAGAAGCAGGCTCCCCACCGACCAAGAAGCCCGATGTGGGACTTGATCCGAGGACCCAGGGATCATGACCCGAGCTGAAGGCAGCTGCTCAACCGACTGAGCTACCCAGGCATCCCCACTTCGTTTTTTTTTTTTTTTAAGAAATAAAACATTTCAGGTATAGGTGAAATGTTTATATAACATTTCCTGCCTGGCCCCTTCCTCCTGGTAGGTAACCTCGAAGGTAACCACTGTTCTAAAGCTGAGTGTATTACTCCCACGTACATGTTTAAGACATAAGTAACAGATTGTTTCATGTATTTAACATTTACAAACAAAGCAAGTGACTATGCATTTATTCCACTATTTTTACTCAACTTATTTCCTGAGACTTATTTATGTTGATGCATGCAATTCTAGTTCATTCATTTGAACAGCTAAAAATCGTTACTACTCATCTCCCAATAATGGTCACTTAGGTTGTTTGTTAACTTTTGCTATGTTGATGCTACAACAATCTTCCTCGCACCTGTCTCCTCAACTAGACACCAAAGTGCCTCAGAACATAGTCCTAAAAAAACAATTACTCAGTGATGGGTATTAAGGAGGGCATGTTCTGCATGGAGCACTGGGTGTTATACGCAAACAATGAATCATGGAACACTACATCAAAAACTAATGATGTAATGTATGGTGATTAACATAACATAATAAAAAAAAAAGCAATTACTCAGTGCCCTTTCTTTTCAAAAACTCTTTTCCTTTGGTGAACAGCCTTTATGACAGTATAAAACTATGCCAGTAATTAAGAGAAAAATCTGAATGGAGATAACCTTAAGGCACTTTCTGTGGGGAAAAACCTAAAATCTGTATTAAGTTGCATTTTAAGTCATCTCAGCATAACTAATTAGCGATGGCATTTGGAGCAAAAAACAGTACATTTCATTAATGAGCAATTACCTGTGCAATATTTTGAGAAGACATAATTGCCTGGTTATAGAATATACGGCCAAAGTGATCTCGATCTGGAAATATGTCTGCTTGTCGAGGTAAGTTTGCCCCTCCTGAGTCAACTGAAGACAAGGGAAATAACAGAAGTACATTTGAATGAACAAAATACCCTGCACACAGAGAGACTTGTATCAATGACAACAACAGTTCTTAATCACATTCACAAAAAACTTGCCCTACCGTTCTAAACTATTCTACAGCATCTTTCTCCAGTCCCCCAACACAGCCAAAAAAAATTCACTGTTTTCCTCAAATCCATTAGGATCTCCTCCCTGTGCAAAATTCCACTTGAAACGTTTAGGACATTCTCTCCTTTGAGGACAAGCTAAAGCCCCAGAAACACTGTAAATTCTTAACCAGTTCAGCTAAAAAAAAAAAAAAAGTGTCTTTCCCTCTTTTAAACCAATACAAAACCATCTACAGAATTCATGTGACAATTCATCACAGACTGCTTGGGGGACTGTTTTTACTGCAGAGCAGAGTGGGGGCTAAGAATGTCCACTGAATGTGGAAAAGAGTTTGATGACTTCAGATTGTGTGATTACTGGTGTGTTTCCTAGCCATTCTATGCCTCACTCTCCTCACCTGTGAAATGAAGGGGACAACAGTAGCTCTCCTAAGGAGCTGTTCCTGGGATGACATGAAATAAGGTATATAAGGTATGTAAGGTATTAGTTCAGCACAGTGTGAGTGCATATAGCAGTGTTACATTAAGTTCCTTCATTGTTCTTTAATACATGACATCCCGTCTCCAATTCATTCAAGCTTGCCCAAGACAGGGACAACATAATACTCTTCACTCCATCCCCTATTGGTGTTTGGCATAGCACCTGAAAGCAGTTGGGCCTCATTTGCTGTTTTCTACATATGCAAAAAAAATTTCATACTGTGAGTCAAACAAGTAAATTCACTTTTGCAGGAAAAAAAAAATCTCTACATCAGTACCTGTTCAAATACCCACATAAATAAACAATATACATATGCTGGCATTTCACCAAACTAAACCAAAATCCAGGCAGTGCCAATTTTAAACTGCCTTGCTTTTATGTTTCTTTTGAAATATCCTTAGATTTAAACATATTTTAATTTCAAATATAAATTTACTTGAAGAATTCAATTTCTTTAAACTGTATTTGCTGAAATTATTCAGGCATTTAACAAAGTACCTAGCACTCAAAAGATCCATAAATATCAGCTATTATTTTTTCATAGTTTGAACTCATTAAGGTTAAGACAAAAAGAAAATACATAGAAGGAAAAAATCCACACGCATGAAGAGGAAAAAAACCTGGCATATATGAAAATAATGTCAGGGGCGCCTGGGTGGCTCAGTCGTTAAGCGTCTGCCTTCGGCTCAGGTCATGGTCCCAGGGTCCTGGGATCGAGCCCCGCATCGGGCTCCCTGCTCGGCGGGAAGCCTGCTTCTCCCTCTCCCACTCCCCCTGCTTGTGTTACCTCTCTCACTGTGTCTCTCTCTGTCAAATAAATAAATAAAATCTTTAAAAAAAAAAAAAAAAAGAAAATACTGTCAGAGGTTATTCCTCAGTGATGTTATTACAGGTAGTTCTTGTTTACTTTTTCTTCCAGAGTTTTTAGCAAAGAACACGCATTGTGTAATTACAGGAAAAACCAACAAATTTTAAAAATACCCATTGATAATGTCATATATAGCCTTCTAAAAGTATTGTATTTTACCAGCTAAAAATAGTTCATTTTATGACTCTTGTGACTTGCCCAAGTAAATGCAGGGGAGTCTGTTTTGCATTGCAATTTCTTGCGCCCGTAAGTGTTTCTTCACAGTCACTGGGTAGTAGGAACCTCCTTTGATGGTGGCATCATTGGCAACAATAATGCATTCCACTCTGAAAGGGAGAAATTTCATTACAAAGAGAATATGAGAGATTCTTCAAAGTTAAAAGGCCAATTACGTCTCCTTATAAGACACTCCAATGCAACCTTCGACTTCTAGTACATTTCACCACTGACAGTCATTAGCAGACAATCTCATGATACAAAACCAAGCTTTAATCACAATTCACATACTCACTTATATAATGATCACTATGAACAACTTTACAAACTCATTCTTAATTTTTAGAGTCATCAGTCCTATGGGCACCTGGGTGGCTCAGATGGTTAAGCATCTGCCTTTGGCTCAGGTCATGATCTCAGGGTCCTGGGATTGAGCCCTGCTTCTTCACTGCCACCCCCACCCCTCCTCCCTGCCCTTTGCCCCTCCCCCTGCTTGTGCATGCTCGCTCTCTCTCTCCCTCTCCCCTTCCCTCTCTCAAATAAATAAAATAATCCTTAAAAAAACAGTCATCAGTCCTGTATTAGCAGTGAAAAACTAACAACCTCAGCCACACTTCATAAAGGGTCTTCCAATGAAATGATCCTAGCAAGATAATAATAATACAAAAAAAAAAAAAATCCTACTCTCAAGGGTGAGAAAATCCCTCCTAATAAACCACCAAGTTTCCTTGTAGGAAGGTAATTTGCAAAAAGGAAAACTGACCCACCAAGAGAATTTATTTTTTACATTTCCAAAAGTTCTTCAATGTTACTACCACATGCTTTTTTATAAAACTAAAAGAAATTTAAAATACGGTATCTATCTTGCTTAAAGTAACAACAGATACAAACTATAAAATAGTATATTGAAAACATAGACTATAATGTGTTATCAATGGTACCCTTTCTCATCAAAACCAGTTGGTTGGATGCCATGACCACAAGTAACATACAAAGAGCAGGGTAGTGAAGGCAGAGTATCTGTAAGGGAAACTGCTTGATATTGCCAGGGAGCCTGAAGGTCAGGGGCTGACTTGAAACTTGAGTGAACAAGAGTGTGCTCTTTACCAAACTTTATCTCCTTTATGTTTATGGTATTATTATTATTATTTAAGATTTTATTTTTAAGTACTCTCTACACCCAATGTGGGGCTCGAACTTACAACCCCAAGATCAAGAGTCATACTGCTTCACCAACTGAGCCAGCCAGGTACCCCTATTTATGATATTTTTTAAAAATCTCAGTTTAGGGGGGCGCCTGGGTGGCTCAGTCGTTAAGCGTCTGCCTTCGGCTCAGGTCATGATCCCAGGGTCCTGGGATCAAGCCCCGCATCGGGCTCCCTGCTCGGCGGGAGGCCTGCTTCTCCCTCTCCCACTCCCCCTGCTTGTGTTCCCTCTCTCGCGGTGTCTCTCTCTGTCAAATAAATAAATAAAATCTTTAAAAAAAAAAAAAATCTTGTAAAATCTCAGTTTAGGGGGTGCCTGGATGGCTCAGTCGTTAAGCGTATGCCTTCGGCTTGGGTCATGATCCCAGGGTCCTGGGATCGAGCCCCACATCGGCCTCCCTGCTCAGCGGGAAGCCTGCTTCTCCTTCTCCCACCCCCCCTGCTTGTGTTCCCTCTCTCACTGTGTCTCTCTCTGTCAAATAAGTAAAATCTTTAAAAAAATTAAATAAATAAATAAATAAAATCTCAGTTTAGGGGCGCCTGGGGGGCTCAGTTGTGAGGCATCTGCCTTCGGCTCAGGTCATGATCCCAGGGTCCTGGGATCGAGCCCCACATTGGGCTCCCTGCTCCACCGGGAGCCTGCTTCTCCCTCTCCCACCCATCCCCTGCTTGTGTTCCCTCTCTCGCGGTCTCTCTCTGTCAAAAAATAAATAAAAAAATCTTACTTTATATTCCTTATAATTCTAAAAAGTAAGTCACTGAGTCCCTGTTGAAAATAAAGTAGGGAAGAGCCTCGGAACAGTGGCCTCAGGTAGTGCTGTGCTGCTGACATTAAGGGATGTGGCCAGCAGTGCTCACAAGATAAAAGGGCTCGTCTCCTTAGAGCATCGATCTTATTGCTAGAAAGCACTTTTCCATATTACAGTTAGCATTTTAAAGTGGGATGCCAATTCTTCATGACTTTAGTAAATAAACCAGACTTCAAAGGGAATTTCAGCTTCTGGCAGGATGGTGGGGCTATGATCTCATACCCCCAGAGTCTATTCATCCTCCCCTGCCCTGGGGGTGCTGCCCTAGAAAAGCTGAAGAAGCTCCGATATGGGAAAGGGGCTATGGAGTCAGACAAGCTATGGTGAAATTCTGGCTCTGCCGCTTGCTAGATCTTCCACAAGAGACAGAGCCACTTGCCTATTAAAAGGTCAGAGACATGATACAGAATGAAAAATAAAATTAGTCCACAAAAACACTGCATTGTACATCTATTGGTTCTGCCTACTCAGAATCTATTATTTTGGCAATGGAATTCAACTTTCTTTCAGAAAATGACTCTTACCTAATCCATGTGGTTCAAGTGGGACTGACCCCCAAACCTATCTTCAAAGGTGTACATAGGAAGGAGGACTTTGTACCTAGAGTCCACACCGTGGCTCAGTAATGGGCTTGGACCCCAAACCTCTCCCCATAGGAGCTCCATGCCCTCTCTAGGTGCACTACTCTGCCCACATCCCCATGTGTCCACCAACCAGGAAGTGCTCAGAACCCAGTCCTCTTGGGTTTTATGTAGGCTTCACTGCACAGCCACGACTGATGAATTCACTGGCTGATTCAACCTCCAGCCCCTCTCCCCTCCCCAAAGGTGGGGACTGGGGAAGTCGGTAGGATAGAAAACTTCCAACCCTCTAATAACATGGTCGGTTCTCCTGACAACCAGCCCCTGGCCTTGATTGGGGTCCAAAAGCCACCTTCGTTGATATAACAAAAGACACCATGACCATTCTCAACACTTCCAAGGGTGTGGGGAGCTGTGAGCCAGAAACTGTGGACAAAGACCGAAAATCTATGAGGAATAAATTTTGGTCATCTGAATGACCAAATATATCTATCTTACAAATCACAGTATTATAGTAATACAATATATAATTATTATGTATTATTAGTTACTAAGACAAGGTAAAATATATAATTAAAAAAAAGTAATTGTGATGGTCCTATGTTAAGATACAATGGTCAAGGGGCACCTGGGTGGCTCAGTCGTTAAGTGTCTGCCTTCGGCTCAGGTCATGATCCCAGGGTCCTGGGATCAAGTCCCACATCGGGCTCCCTGCTCTGCGGGAGGCCTGCTTCTCCCTCTCCCACTCCCCCTGCTTGTGTTCCTGCTCTCGCTGTCTCTCTCTCTGTCAAATAAATAAATAAAATCTTTAAAAAAGATACAATGGTCAAGGGATGGTAAAAATAACAATAACAGCCCATACTAACATGGCACTTAACAATGCACTAGGTGTCATTATAAGGCTTTAGATAATGAGGTATCCCATTTTACAGATGGGAAAACAGGCACAGTAAAGTTAAGTAACTAGCCCAAGAGTACCAACCAACAAGTGGTAAAGCCAGCATTTGAGTCTAGGCAGCCTGGCTCTCAAGTGCATGCTCCTAAACACTGCACTGGGGGAAATATGAATGGAGACCTGAAAGATGAGAAGGAGCCAGCCATTCAAAGAAACCAGGGGAAGAACACTTGATGCAGAGCAAACGGCTCAAGTATAGGCCCTAAAGCAAAAATGAGTTTAGTGCATTCACGGAATAGCAAGACCGGGATGGCTAAAGTGTTAGGTACAAAGCTAAGGTGAGGAAAGCAGGCAGGGACCATACCACATAGGACATGATAAAAAAAAAAAAAAAGCGAATTTGCCAGAGAGAAAGACTGCAGCTCAGTTATTCTTCAGCCAGTTACTATTTCAGGCAAGGAGTCCTTGATTCTAAGCTGGTTTATAAATTCAATACAAAAAGGTTTCTCATGGAATTTCTTGGGGTCTATTCCGAACTTACCATGGAGCCTCTCTCAATATACCCAGCACTACTCAGAAATATACAAAAGGAATAAAGGTATAAAAGCTTTGAATGACTTCGGCTCTGAAGAGATTCCAGAGCCTCAACTCTGCCACCCACAACTGCTACGCTCAGTGGCAAGAGTATCAATTGTATTGTGTATCTCTTAAGGAAGGGAGTATTTCTCTTCCTTTTCTTGTTTCTTCCTCTTGTTTCATGACAACCCTCTCTGGTAGCTACTAGGATCATTCCATTTCATCATGAATCATATTTTCCCAATGAAAAAAACCAAGGTATCGAGTGGTCAAGCAATTTGCTGAAGGTCAAACAGCTATAAAATGCTGAAGCCAGGATTCTAATTGAGGCTGACAACTGAACCCATTCAATTCCTACATGCAATTCAATTTCCTTCCAAGCTGAGAACTTTATAAACTGAGAACAAGGCACAAAGAAAGAAAATGAAAACGAAAAATACAAAAGCATAAATACGAATAAAATATTAGTATATGCACAGGAAAGGTGGAAAGGAATGCTCCAACGTGGTGACCATCATTATCACTGGAGATGAGTTAATGGTAACTGTCCTACTTAATTAGGTTATTTCGTGATTATGAATTCAGTTTAGCTCTGCATGAAGTTTCTCATTTTTTTAAAGGTTTATTTTTAAGCGTCCCCTAAGACTCCAAGAAAAAAATGTCTTCACACTGGGTGAATATTAAGCAAATCATAGCTGGCAAAAGCTGTGGAGAAGTGTTGGGGGTACAGGAGCAAAGAAGCAACAATGGCTAATGGCTATAGGTGCACCGAAGGCACGAATCATGGGGAGAAGGTGGAGGAAAACACACCATAAACCATTATGTGAGTAAAATGCAACTGTATCAGGCTCAGAGTCCAACCACCTAAGGTCCAAGCACAGCTTTGCCAGTGGCTTGATCTTAAGCAAGTTATTTACCTTGCTAAGCAGGCTTCCTGACCTGCCTTAATGGTGATGATGACAATAATACCCATTCTCACAGAGCTGTGGTGATGATTAAAACAACTAATCAGGGGGCGCCTGGGTGGCTCAGTTGGTTAAGCAACTGCCTTTGGCTCAGGTCACGATCCTGGAGTCCCGGGATCGAGTCCCACATCGGGCTCCCTGCTCAGTGGGGGGTCTGCTTCTCCCTCTGACCCTTCCCCTCTCATGCTCTCTGTCTCCCATTCTCTCTCTCAGATAAATAAGTAAAATCTTTAAAAAAAAACAACTAATCAGTGGGAAGTGTTTACTACAACGCCTGGCAAGCTAACCTGACATGGCAAATGTGAGGCCATACATAAATATACACAAGTAAATTTAACTTCTACCAATCTAAGATTCCCTAAGTCCGGAGTGGTTCTCAAACATTAGGGTTCGAGAAGCTTGAAGGGCTTACTAAAAAAACACTGACTGCCAGGCCCCACCCTCAAAATTTGATTTAGTTACCTTTTTTTTTTTTTTTAAGTAAGCTCCATGCCCAGCATGGAGCTCAATGTGGGGCTTGAACTCAAGACCCTGAGATCAAGACCTGAACTAAGATCAAGAGTAGGGCGCTTAACCAACTGTGCCACCCAGGTGCCCCTGATTTGGTTACTTTGTAGGAAGACCTAGTCATCTATGTTTCTAACAAGTTCTCAGGTGATGCTGAGGCTACCTGGGGAGCACGCTTGGAGAACGACCCCTCTAGGACACTGGTCTTCACCCTATATGTGCAAGAGCCCACCTACAGAGCCTTGGAAAATGAAATAAACCAAGCCCACACCTGCACAGTCGGATTAAGCAGGAATGTTTGGATTCAAGCCCCAGGATTTGTGCTATGGTTTCCCCTTCCCCCCCTTTGATCTTTGTCTCTAAAGCTCCACAGATAAATCTAATACATGTTGGGGTAGGAAGCCTCAGTCCTAAACAATACAAATAGCATAAAACTTGCATATTCGCCCGCAAAGCAGTGAGTGATGGCCCGTGCCTGTCAGTCTTCTTCCTGACCCACATTATCGAGTGTAAGTAGAATACTCACCCTGATACTCTGCCAATGCCTGTAATAATGCCACCGGCCGGGACCTCCTCATTCATATATAATTGGTAACCTGCAAACTGAGATAATTCCAGAAATGGAGATCTGAAGGGAAGAAAGGACATCACTTGAATTAAAGTCATTTCTTTTTTTAAAACAAGCATATTTAAACAGTTAAATATGGAAAAGATTAATGAGCCAATGTTTCAAGTATGCATGCTGTATATATATAAAATCTACTAAAAAAAAATATTTAACCAAAATCTGGGGTGGATATTAGGAGGAATCACACATTATAGCCATACAATAGAATACTAGGTACCTATTTTAAGAGATGTTGTAGAAACACGTTTATTAGTAGAGAAAGAGCCTAGCACCTAACACTAACGTAAGACCCCACCCTGCGCCAGGCTCTCTTTTTGGAGCTCCAGAAACCTAACTCATTTGTTCCTCAGAACCACCTCCTGAGGTGGATCCTATTATGATCCCCATTGACTGATGATGAAACTAAAACACAGAAATTAAGTCACTTGTCTAAGGTCACACAACTAGTAAGGGGCAGAGCTGGTTTTAATAAGCAATCTAATCCCAGGGACCAGGCTCTTCACCACTCTATTTATTACTCTACCTTTCACTTACTTAAATGTTCAGGATCCAGTAAGTGGGGGGGGTGGTATAAAACACCACATTTAGGGCACCTGGGTGGCTCAGTCGTTAAGCGTCTGCCTTCGGCTCAGGTCATGATCCCAGAGTCCTGGGATTGAGCCCCGCATCGGGCTCCCTGCTCTGCGAGAGGCCTGCTTCTCCCTCTCCCACTCCCCCTGCTTGTGTTCCCTCTCTCGCTGTCTCTCTCTCTCTCTCTGTCAAATAAATAAATAAATAATCTTTAAAAAAAACCCACACATTTAGTATGATTCCGTTTCTCTTGTAAAAAAAAAAAAAAAAAAAGTGGCTAAGGAGCACCTGGGTGGCTTAGTCGGTTAAGCATCCAACTCTTGGTTTTGGCTCAGGTAATGATCTCACGGTCATAAGCATGAGGTCGAGCCCCGAGGCAGGTTCCCCGCTCAGCAGGGAGTCTGCCTACCCTCTCTCTCCCTCTGCCTTTGCCCCTCCCCCTGCTCATGCTCTCTCTCTCAACTAAATATATAAATCTTAAAAAAAAAAAATGTGTCTAATATGCATATGCACAAGAACATTCTAGAAGGATATACACTTGGTGTTAACAGTGTTTGTCTCCAGGTTGGGGGTACAGGTGCATGTCATAAAAAATTCTTTGGAGTCCTTGTTCCCTTCTCTCCACCTGCACTCCCGGCCTCCCACGCCAATCCTTCGGGAAATCCCGATGGATTAGCTCTGTCTTGACAACATGCCTAGAACCTGACATTCTCATCACCTCCACTACACTATCCTAGTCCAAGTCACCACCATATCTCCTTTGAATCACTGCCACATTCCTCTAACTCCTCTTGGTGCTTCTACCCTTGCTGCCCCCAGGCTACTCACAAAACAGCAGCTAGAATGACTCTTTTCAAATCTAAGTCAGATAGATCGTAAGTCTTCTGTTCAAAACCCTACAAAGTCTCCTCACTTCTCTCAGATAAAAGCCAAAATTCTTACACTGATCTACAAGGTCTTATGGAATTGAACCCATCTCTACTACTCTCCCCTTTATGCCTTCTTACCCCTAACACACTAGCATCCGGGGTTCTTGGGCGTATCAACACATCCCGCACATTCCCACCTCAGGGCCTTTGCACTGGCCATTCCTTCTGTCTGTAACACTCTTTCACCAGTATCTTCAGGGCTCTCTCTCTTCACTCCTTCAAATCTTCGCTAAGATATCACCTTCTCAAAGAGGCCTACCCTAACCACCTTATTTAAAACTACAACTTGACCCTCATCTTCTCCCTTACCCTGATCTACTTCCTTTTTTCCCGTAATATTTATCACCTTCTAATATACTATAATAACTTACCACATTTATCATTTATTTTCCATCTCCTCCTCCTACAATGTAAACTCCAGTTGAGTAAGGATCTTCGTCTGTTTTGTTCACTAATGTATCACTATCACCTAGAACAGTGCCCGACACTTAGTAGCGTCTCAATAAAGATTTGCTGTTGAATATACAGAAGTTGCACTGTTCTTCTAGGCTTTAACTTATATAGGTAAATATTGCCAACTAAGTCTTGGGAAGGACCATCTCTGTACTTTTCTTGCTATGATTGAATTATGTCTGTATCTGCTTGCCTCCTTCTCTAGACTTTTCCATTCTGCATTCTCAGCTCACTTTCTCCTTTCTCATTTGTGACCAAAACATTTATAGAACTACAAAATGGTATCCATTCTTATTATGAGATAGTGTGAATTTTACCTAGAAGTCTTTAACACTTTCTGTGGTTCTAAAATTACCGTCGACAATAAACATAACCCTAGAAGTAGTCCTTCCTTCAATATTTTTAGTGTTTCCCCCAGTTGTAAAAGCATTCCTTTATGAGGCCTAACACATTAGCCCCCACAGAGTTCATAAAAAGCCAGCTTCTCTAGAATATAGATTACTCTTATGGGAGAACTACCAAGAGTTCTGATTAATGGCTATGTGGTCTATATGCTGTACAGAAGGTCCCAGTGATTTAAGGGCTTTTTGAAACTATTAATTATGACTATAATTTATATCCTTTTGCTTACCTGATGAAACTTTGTTCTTTGTATATAATAAAATATGTATATGTAAAAGAAAATTTTTGTTGTTGAATCTTAGGGTAAGAATTAGAATTTAAAATCATTTATTTATAAAACTAAGAGAGTACCACAGACTAGAGAACACTGAGTTAGCACTTGGGATATACAAACCCTGGGTCTATAAGACTGTCCACTCTTTCTCTGGCTAAAAGTTTTCCTCTTGATTTGTGGAGTTCTCGGGCTTTCTCATTGCCTCCTAAGATAAAAACATGATTAGATTAGACTGACATCATGTAACGTCTCCAATTAATTTAAGGCTAGAAAAACATAAAACAGTCCAAAATATAGTGCTTTTAAAAGTTCAATGTATCTTCTGAGAAACAGCTAATTTTTCAGATCATTCACTTAACTTACAAGCTTTATTTTCTGAAGTAAATAAACTAGAATTAAAAAAAAAATCAATCCGATTTCATAGCATATCATACATTTTCTGAATTCGATGGTAATTACTTAAATAACCTAGTATCTTCTCTGCAACTCATACACTATAAATACTGCCTCACCTCCACCACATTTATTAAATACCTGCCACAAATACCCAGCACTCTGCTACATACTATGTGAAATTTGAAAAATTCCTACCTTCATTTGTTCCAGGTAAAAAGCACTACTTTAGAAATGACCTCCATGATGAGCACAGCAAGACTTACCTAAAGGTAAGTGACCCCTAACTTTTTACACTGTCTCCAAAGGGGAGAGAGTTGCACACCTAATGTATCAGTTAAAAAGTCCAGTTTTGTTAGCATCTTCAGAGACTGTCTTCGATGTTTCCTGATGTTCTAGACCAAGAAAATTACAGTTGTTGAAGAGTCCACGAGGTCACCAGATGAGGCTGCTTGAGGTGCGCAGTACACCAAACCTCCCCCAGACTGACAGCGGCCAGGCTCGGTGTCTCAGGAATATTGATAAGCCACTTCTCAGAAAGCCAAGGTATCAGATCAGAAACAGAAGGATCACACAGTACCTTAATATGTTTAGTTTCACTGCTGCCCACGAATTTCATCTTAATTTGCTCTCAAGTTAATGAAGTGTTCAGCTATTTAAGAAAGCTACTTCTTTGGGTTGTTTTTTTTTTTAGGTGAGAAAACAAGGTCTTGTCTACTTCAAGCTTCCAAGTATTATTTTTCAAACCAGGCCTCTTTACTCTAGGGGATTTTTTTTTTTTTTTCTGAAGGGACGGATGGCATATTTCTAAGATTATATCTGCCTTAAGCTTACCAAGAAAATTTTATCACATATCTAACCTTCTTTTAAAATGAAAATAATTCTGGGAGGCAAAGATTTAGTTCTAAAACAGTGTAATTAGGTCAAATCACTGTTCTCTTTCTCCCAACCACTCAGAGGAACTGGGCTCCTCTACTGAGGTGGGTTTGGGTGTAGGAGGCGAGGGTACAGGAAAGGAGGGGAGATACAGGTTACCAAGGGACAGAGGAAACTTCTGGAGGAAGCACATTCATTATCTTTATTGTGGTGATCATTTCACAGGTTATGTCCATATGTCTAAACTCAAATTGTACATTTTAAATAATGCAGTTTATTGTATGTCAATTATACCTTAATAATATTGTTTAAAAATAAATATTAAAAGAAAAATGAGCCTAAGGCACTGAAAGGAAAGCCAGGCCTTGCTGAGGGTCTTTAGAGAGTCAGGGGACATAAGTGCCTGCGAAGAAGCTAGCAGGGAAGAGGTGGCCAGAGAGTCTGGAATGACAGAGGTGGTAAGATATACGCATATTCTTTCACAAGGACTTTAGAGAAAATCGCTCTTTCTTAATTCTGCCTAGAGTTTGAATTTGCAATGTGGCACAGCTACTGAATTCCGGTTTTGTTAGGAAAACCCAGAAAGATGGGCTATCCTTGATGCAGATTCTCAGATCACAGAATTAAGCTCCTCCGGCATTTAAACTAGCCTGTGACAGGACACCTGGGTGGCTCGGTGAATTAAGTGTCTGCCTTTGGCTTAGGTCATGATCTCAGGGTCCTGGGATCGAGTCCCACATTGGGCTCCTTGCTTGGCAGGGAGTCTACTTCTCCCTCTCCCTCTGCCTGCTGGCCGCCCCCCCACTTGTGCGCACTCTCTCTCTCTTGCTCTCTGACAAATATATAAATAAAAATCTTTCAAAATAAAAAAATTAAATAAACTAGCCTAGGATATGTGGGCAGCCACAGAAACAATGTGACACCGCACATTAGTTTTCCAAAGATTATTCTTAAAGATTCTGTGCTATCTCCGTTCCCACAAACTCTGAGATACAAAAGCCTGTTTCCTTCAGTCTCGTATACCATATGGCACTGATTCTAATCTACACATTTTGTTCACATTTTAACATCCCTGAAATCAGGAAGCATTTTACAGTTTACAGGATCTTTTCATCGCTGGCACCTGGGGACATCACAACACATCTGTCTGCCTGTGCCTGCACAGCACAAATGTCACTTCAACTGTGCTACATGCACTGTTCGAACTATGTGCATCGAGGGGCGCCTGGGTGGCTCCGTCGTTAAGCGTCTGCCTTTGGCTCAGGTCATGATCCCGGGGTCCTGGGATCGAGCCCCGCATCGGGCTCCCTGCTCGGCGGGAAGCCTGCTTCTCCCTCTGCCTGCCGCTCCCCCTGCTTGTGCTCTCTCTCTCCCACAAAAATAAATAAAATCTTATTTTGGAAATGGCTTTCAGTTTCAAGTCACCCAGGCTTCTAAAGTAAATTGTCACACTGACCAATAATGGCACAGTAGAATTCAACGTATTTGTTTATACATTAATATTATTAATATTTTACATTCCCCACACGATGCAATTTCTTCCAAACAAAAGGATGTCTATTATGTCCACAACTTAAAAGAAAAAAATGACAATCTGCAAAGTTCTTAGGAAATCTCATTTAATTAGCTATAAACCCACATAGAAATTATTTCCAAGTTATATAACAAAATGCATAATTATGCAAAATAAGTATATAAGATGAATATAACGAACAGAAAATGTTTCAGATGCTTCAGGCAAAACAGAAATTTCAGTGGATGCTGTGGCTAAAATAAAACCATAAGAAGCAATGCTTTAAAAATTGATGAATCTGAAATTTAGCCGTTGCCCAGAGAGCTGGCAGTGCTATAGGAGCAGAAAAACTGGCCAAGTAAGAGGAAAAAATGTCAGCACACCAACAAATACAGTCTTAAAGAGTCAAAGCTTGCTGCTACTAGTTTTTCCTAGAACCATAACTATCAAGGATCATCTTCATTAACAGCATAAAATGAAGAATAAATGAATGTTTACCTAATCTTATTTCCTGCGCTCGTTCACGGAGTTGATTTACTAGTGCTTTCATCTGTTCATAGTTTTCCTAAAACAGAAAAAAAGAAAGGGAGAGTAATATTAGAAAACAATTATCCTTTTTTTTTTTTAGCTAAAGTAAGAGTTGATGAGAACATCACATGCCAACCCCATGTGGCTTCACGCAGGGCCACCCCCCACTCATGTGGCCTCTGTGTTGTGTCACTCCATCAGATGGAAAAGATGAATTCCTGCCTGTCCATCTTTGCCCAAGCTCCTCTTCCCGCCGTCCCTCTCTGGTCCACGTATCCAAATCTTACCCTTCTTTAAAGCATAGATCATGTTCCCTCTCCTCTCTAACCCCATTTCTGGTCACTCCTACTCATTTTAGCATCTTTCTTCCATAAGCATCAACTGAACTTCATTGAGTTCTATTTGTTTCCCTATTTTAAGGAATATAAGCCCTTAGAGAGTTAGAAAGCCGTCTTACTTTTCATGTCCCTTCAATCCCTGCCCCAAGGAGTTTCTAACCAATGCAGAAATACTTGCTTACTGACAAATTACTCTTAAAAGCAGAGCCCAGGGGAAAAAATAGGTCCTATTTTGTTTTAAAAGGGAACAAAACTCTATGTTTGTGCGTCTTTAGAAATTCTCTAGAGTAATATACAGGAGAATATAAACTGTGAGAGGTGGATAAAGGGTAGAGGGCCTAACTTTTTGCTGTTCTGTAAATTTTGTCTGATCAGCTCATTACTTTAGACCAATAAGTAGCAAGTTATTTTTGAAAATTCCAAGTTGATGGGGCGCCTGGGTGGCTCAGTCATTAAGCGTCTGCCTTCGGCTCGGGTCATGCTCCCAGGGTCCTGGGATCGAGCCCCGCATCAGGCTCCCTGCTCTGCGGGAGGCCTGCTGCTCCCTCTCCTACTCCCCCTGCTTGTGTTCCCTCTCTTGCTGTGTCTCTTTCTGTCAAATAAATAAAATCTTAAAAAAAAAAAAAATTCCAAGTTGAACCACTAACACATTTTGCTCCCCACAATGTCTTTAACATCTCTGATTTAATTCCTTTTCCATGACATGGTACTACACAGCTTTCCAGCTGTTCAAAATTACATGAATTTACAGACTTTATAGAACTCTAGTATTTCTTATTTTCTACAGCTCTAATCGCTCCCAAGGCCAAGGTTTCTGCTACATTCTCTTGCTCTGCAAGAAACAGAAGGCAAAAAAGAGAGAAGCAGCATACTGTTAGGAAAGAACCTTTGCCCTGGAATAGGGAGGTCCCAATCACGGTCTACTAGCCCTGTGACTACCTCCCTTCGAGGCCCACCAAGTCCTGTCTGTCCAAGGGCAGACAACCTGCCAGCAACAAACTCCAGAATCTGCCTAGAACGTTGTTTCCCAACCTGGGCTGGACACTGGAATCAATGGGAAGCTTTGAAAAATAAAAACAAAAATAAACCCCCAGAGATTCTGATGTCACTGGTTGCAGGTATGGCCTGGGCATTAATCACTTTAAAAGTTCCCCAAGGATTCAAATGTCCAACCAAAAGTAGAGCAACGCTGGCCCACAGTCTTCCACTCCAGGCAAACTGGAAACCTACCAAAAAAGGGGATTTGGTAATAGGCAGAGTTCTTTAATCACCAGAACTTTTTCAGATTTCCATAGTGTTTGTTGATATTAATAGCATGAGGCAGTGAAAGCCAAGACTTTTGCTCTTCTCTTAAGCCCAGGTTACAGATCCTGTTTACTCACATTTAGGCAATTCAGAAACTCCTAACTTTATGAACTGCCTCAGACCGAAACAGCGCTCTGCACCAGAGCACGTCTGTCCCGCCCGTCACCGAGGGGTGGCATGGCAGCAACGTGTATAATGCCACTTGAAGGGTATGAAGAGATTTTCAGCAGCCTTTCAAAACCTAACATCCCAAGCGTAAAGGGAGCTACCTCTGTCCCGAGAGCCTCCTGGGCTGAGAACGAGTCCTAGTAAGCAGGGGCTGTGTCCTGAACTCCTTCGTCATCTGCGAGAGATCCAGCAGATGGGAGGGAGTTTGTAAGGAGAAGGCCTCCTTGGATAAACAAAACGGGGAGGCAGAGAAGAGCTCTGGGAGATGAAGTTGGTGGCCAACTCCCATCTGGAGCCGAAGGCCTTCTTCTCTGTGCGGCTTTCTCACCTGACCCTGGGCTGCAGCTGCCACCCTGGGGCTCAGAGATGGGTGCTACTCTGGCCTCAGGCCCTGGGCTCCCTCTACCTGCTGCTCATCCCACAGGGTGAGGAAAAGATCGGATTACTATGTTGCTAAGTAGAAAGGAAAGCAGATTACTTCACTGCACAGGCAAAGTTATTATTTTTTGCTTGTTTTCTGCTTCAAGTCTATCTTGTCAACTTCTACCTTTATTCTAAGGTTAAAAATCCACCTCATAGGTGGCTTAGTGTTTCAGAGACCTCCCCCCCCTTTTTTTTAAGTAAGCTCTAGGCCCAATGTGGGGCTCAAACTCATGACCCCGGAGAGCAAGAGTCGCGTGCTGTACTGAGTGAGCCAGCAGGGCACACCTCAGAAACCCTGCTCTTAAGAATCCCCATGGATGATGAAGTGCCTTCATCAGGGCAGGCAGCCTTCCCAAATGCGCCACTGTTTGGAATTCCACTTCCAATCTCTGCCACTCACAGCCCAGCAATTTCTCCAATTCACAGACTGACTGATTCTGTGGTTTTTAACAAAAGACTTGCTCATTTTGAGTTTATGGCATTTCTGGAAAGGAATCTCATCCAAACTGTTAACCCTTGTATCTCTTCACTTTTTAGTGATCATTAAAAGATAATCTGAAAAATGCACTGTAGGAAAAGAGAGGCCACGTATATTGTTCCACATGTGACTCCAAGTTCAATAAAAGGAATTTAATGAGGCGCCTGGGTGGCTCAGTCGGTTAAGCATCCAACTCAATTTCTGCTCCGGTCACGATCTCAGGATTGTAAGATTAAGCCCCGCATTGGGCATGCTGGGCATGGAGCCTGCTTAAGATTCTCTCTCTCCATTTAAGAAAGAAAACAGATGAACCTAGGGGAAGGGAGGGAAAAATAAAATAAGGTGAAATCAGAGAGGGAGACAAACCGCAAGAGACTCTTAACTATAGGGAACAACCTGAGGGTTGCTGGAGGGGAGGGAGTGGGGAGATGGGGTAACTGGGTGATAGGCAATGAGGAGGGCACTTGATGTAATGAGCACTGGGTGTTATATGCAACTGATGAATCACTAAACTCCACCTCTGAAACTAATAATATACTATATGTTAATTAACTGATTTTAAATTTAAAAAATATAAATTTTAAAAAAGATTCTCTCTCTCCCTCTCCCTCTGCCCCTCCCCCCCCGCCCCCCCCCCCACCGCATTCACTCTCTCTCTCTAACATAAATAAGTAAATGGATGAAGGAAGGAAGGAATGAAAGGAATTCAGTGCCAATGCAGAAAAAACCTGAATACCTATTATCGCAGCAAGGTATGTGAAAGGTTAATACATTTACCTAGGAATAATCCTATTTTGTTAGTTTAAAATTGATAAAATGATGGGAAGCCTGGGTGGTTCAGTGGTTAAGTCTCTGTCTTCAGCTCAGGTCATGATCCCAGGGTCCTGGGATGGAGTCCCACATGGGGCTCCTTGCTCAGCGGGGAGTGAGCTTCTCCCTCTGCCTGCTGCTCCCCCTGCTTGAGCTCTCGCCCTCTCTCTCACAAATAAATAAATAAAACCTTTAAAAATAAATAAATAAATAAAATTGATAAGATGAAGAAAAAATGTTTTTTTCCAGTGACATTATATGGGGCTAATTCTCAAGCAAGTCCATCCACTCATTATGACATACTATCTTCTGCTCAGTCTCACTTAGCTCAACAGCACTAGGATACGAATAGACAGGTTAGAGCATGGCAAAATGAAAAGGTAGGGGTTTCGTTAACATTTTCAGCTCCCCTTAAATGGGGTTTGTCATTGTTGTTAATGGAAGAAAGCTGGGGCGCCTGGGTGGCTCAGTCGGTTAAGCATCTGCCTTCAGCTCAGGTCATGATCTCAGGGTCCTGGGATCGAGTCCCGAATCAGGCTCCCTGCTCAGCGAGGCAACTGCTTCTCCCTCTGCCTCTGCTCCTCCCCTACCCCCCAACTCCTGCTCATGCTTGCGAGCTAGCTCTCTCAAATAAATAAATAATAAAAAAAGAAAGTTAACTTTCTTTCATGGAAATTTTCAAACGCATACAAAAACAAAAAGACTAGCATAATGAAATGTAGCCAATGTCCTTCAACAATTAATTATCCATATATGGCCAAAGTTGTTTCCTTCTTGCCCCGCACCCCCACCCTGAATTATTTTGAAGAAAATCCTAGACATAGCACTCCTTCTGTAGCCAGTATTTCCAAATCTCCAAAAGATGAGGACCATTCCTGAATATCAATAATCTGTTAAAAACAGGAAATATCCAGGGGCGCCTGGGTGGCTCAGTCGGTTAAGTGCCCGCCTTCAGCTCAGGTCATGGTCTCAGGGTCCTGGGATCAAGCCCCACATCGGGCTCCCTGCTCAGCGGGGAGCCTGCTTTTCCCTCTCCCTCTGCCTGCCACTCTGCCTTCCTATGATTCCTCTGTGTGTGTGTGTGTCAAATAAATAAATAAAATCTTTAAAAAAAAAACAGCAAATATCCAATTAGTGAAGACATTTCCTCAAATGGCGGATAGATGTTTTTTAAAGTTTGCTTATTTAAATAGGACTCCATGGAAGGTCTGTATAGCCACAGTTGGCTGATGTTTCTTAAGTCTCTTCTGAAATGTAAGTTCTCCCATCTTTTTTTTTTTTTGTCTTGATATGTTCTGTTTGTCCCATAGACTTTTTCCCACAATGCTAAGTGTATCCTCCCAGTGTCCTTTAACAAGTTCTCATTCCCTTGAAGATTGAGAGGCTGATGGGATTCTGCTGTGCCTTTAGTTTCTTCCCCCATCCAGCTCATCAAGAATTAGCTGACCTCCCTCCACCTGCACTCTACCTCCCAGTCTCCTGTCAACTTTGCAAAACACAGGAATCAAAGTTTAGAAGCAATGAAAAATAGTTCCCACATGCACAGAGAAAACAAGTAACTCTCTACTAAAGTGTACTCAAACCCAAGATACAATCACTACAGCCTCTGACATCGCCCAATTTAGAACAAAGTCAATCAGAACTAAAGCTAGTTATATGAGGGGTCTTTACCCTAGCTAAGCCAGCCTCCCAGTTAAGAAATAAAGGAAACTGTCTCTAATTGCCAAGGCTTTCTGAAGCACATGGCCATAAGAAGTGACAGCAAACAGTACATATTCCTAGCTACTAAGAAAATTGTGCAGAGAAACCGAACCGTGGCCAGGGCTCCCATGTGCCACCTCCCATCCAAGGCATGGCTTTATCTTTTATTCCCCTCTTGTGGGTTGTTTGCATCAAAGTTTACTACTTGTAGGGGTGGCTGGGTGGCTCAGATGGTTAAGCGTCTGCCTTCGGCTCAGGTCATAATCCCAGGGTCCTGGGATCGAGCCCCACATCGGGCTCCCAGCTCAGCGGGGAGCCTGCTTCTCCCTCTGCCTCTGCCTCTCCCCCTGCTCAGCCTCACTCTCTCTCTCTGTACCTCTCTGTCTCAAATGAATAAATAAAATCTTAAAAAAAAAAAAAAGCTTACTACTTGTAGGTAGAGATCCCAGAAGATAAGGGTACACCTAAGTGAAATCTTTTAACATCCAACATATGAAGAACACATCCAATCTCTCCATACTATTTATTATCTGTGGCAGGCACTGAGAGTTGCTTATCCATATCCATTCTTCCCATCTTTCTTGATGATGAAATCCCACTTTTATTCAAGGTGACAACATGCCCCCGCTGAAAAACTAACATCCTAGCCTCCTTTTGTAGACAGGTGTGGCCCTGGGATTTAATTCTAACCAAGGAAATATAGGCAGAAGTTGTTAGGCATGACTTCTAGAAAGGCTTCTTAAAAAGAGAACAAGCAGGTGAGGGTGTCCTTTTGCCTACTCACCCTTCCTCCTCCTTTACCTGAACTCATACATAATAGGTGGAACTTAAGCAGCCACCTCTAGAGCATAAGGCAGATTGTACTATGTGTTCAAAATTCTTCTGTCCCTCTGGACTATTATTGAATATCAATAATCTGTTAATAACAGCAAGGTTCAGTGTGAGATTATAGTTCCCCACACTCCATGAATCTGTCCATTTTACTTGCTTTGACCAGTGGAATGTAGGCAAAAGTGAAGTGTATCAACTGCAAGCAGAGGCTCTAAGACGGACAGTGTTTCCATACTCTCCTCCTGTGCCCTGGCCTTCCATTAGGAGAGGAGCATCTCTCAGTAGCCACTGTCCCTTCTGCCTGGGTGCTGGAATCAAAAACAAATAGAGCAGACCTGCATCGGACGCACTGCCCGGGCAAGAACTGCCACAACGAACCCACAGATCCCAGAGCAAAAAATAAATATTTGTTCTTTTGGACACAGAGATCTTGGGACTGTCTGCTATTCAGCATTACTGAAGCAAAAGCTGGCTAAACAGGTCCTGAGATGACGATGTGGAAAGAAGGAAAAGTTGCAAGAGCTAATATTTCTTTTTTTTTTTTTTTTAAGATTTTTATTTATTTATTCATGAGAGACAGAGAGAGAGAGGCAGAGGGAGAAGCAGCCTCCCAAGGAGCAGAGAGCCCAATGCGGGACTCGATCCCAGGACCCTGGGATCATGACCTGAGCCGAAGGCAGACGTTTAACCATCTGAGCCACCCAGGCGCCCAAGAGCTAATATTTCTTGAGGGCTTATTATATCCCAGGCCATGTTGTAAGTGGTCACTAACTGTCCTGATGACTCTATGACATATGCAACTATTAATGCTACCGTACAGCTGAGGTAACTGAGGCACAGCCCGCCTCTGAGGCACAGAGAGGTTAAGTAACTAGCCCCAAATCACTCAGCTAACAAGTAGTAGAGCTGGAATTTAAACCAGCTCCAGACCCTTGCTCTTACACCAATAGGTTACACTGTATCTGCCCACTCATAAGGACCCCTGTTAACACTTTCTCCTATTTCCCTTCAAGTTTCTTTTTTTTTCTCCGTGGAAATATGTGGTTAGTTTTTAAGACACATGAAAGACTAGACCAGTGCCTTTTGCATCCTACCACAACTACTTCCCCAATTACTAGTGCACAGACTAGACCAGAACATTAAACACCTGACACAGAGAAAGGAGTTATATGCTCAGGCCCACACTCCCTACCCCCTAGCTAACAGCCACCATCAAAAACATAGGCCTGAACCTAAAGCCGAAAAAGATGGTAGACCAGGAAGCTCCAGGCCTTCATTCTCCACAGAGACACCCCAAAATGACCCCAAACTGGCTAAAATAACCTTATAGAAGCTCCAGAAAATAGTCAAAGGCCTACAGCAACCAGAACACCCAGCCAAGAAGCCATATTCCAAATGGGAGGAAATCTAGCCTCTGTACTGCCACCGCGCTGATGATTCTACCAGGACCATAGGATCTTGCGGCTTCTCCACCTAAGTTTCTTAGCAGACAGCCAGCAAAATGAAACGTGAATGTGGCTTCTGCATGCAAGGGCCTCCACTACTCTCATCTACTCCATGAATTCCATACCCTAGTCATGACTTCGAAGTCCTCATACGCACTATACTCTTTCATAACTTGCTTATCTATGTTCTCATAACTCCCTTAGTTTGTATAGTCTTGCCTTTCCTCCTCAGCCCCGAACCCGGCCAGCTCTCACCCAGCGATCAAGATCCAACTCACTCATCGCTTCCTATCTGCAGCTTTCTGTAACTACCTTTTCAAGCTTTAGACACCCCACTTATCATAATGCACTACAGTTACACACTTTCTTGTCCATCTTGCCCACAAAATTATGATTCCATTCCTACACACCTATACCAAATACCTAAAATACTACCTAGACCACAGAAACCACTTAATATTTCTGAATTAAACATTCTTTCCTGACCCCAGAAAAATCTAGACTCTTGGAAGACTCTTATTGGCTATTGTTTCTGACTCAGCCTGCTTATTTTTTTTCAATTCAAAATGTCTTTTCTGAAAGTTATCTGTACAATTTAAACGTTATCTGTATAAGCTCAGAAACCATGGAACAGGGTGAAATTTTCCAGCTCTGATACTTCACAAGCTGTTTCTTTGACCTTGCTATATCTCCCAATTCCAAAAAAGGCCATTCAAGACAGTGTGCGATAAGTACGCTCTATTAACAACTATTCAACTAAAGTCTGTTAAGCACAACCCCGGGTTATCTGTGCTAGGCCAGTGGTTCCCAAAGCTGTCCGCCGCCAAGTCCTGAGGATTTCATTAGCAATGCAAATACCAAGACCCCACCCCAGAGACCCCAAAGGTCCAGCGTGGGGCTTAAAACAGCTGTACATTGAACAAGTTCCTCAGCTCACAATGCTGACTCAGGTTTTGAGAACCACTGATTTCAAAGATACAATGCACAGTGCCAGGGCTAAAAGTGAACTAAGATGTATTTTACTTGGAATTATCTTCTTTTGCAAACTTCACGACCTACACTGCGTCCCAGAATCAGGACTGGGGGTTCCAGAGAAAACAAAAGAGCTGTTAAAGTGTGCCCACCCTCCACCTGCTTCCTAGTGGGGCCGGCACTGGCGGACAGGTGGAAGAGGACTCACAGGCTCAGTCAGGGGATTCCAGGCCCGGGGCGCCGGGGCGCTCACCCAGCCTACCTGGTAGATGGCAGAGCCCGAGTCTGGCTGGGTGCCCAGCGTGGCCACCAAGTCCCCGTGATAAGCGCGCGGCCCGGGGACAAAGGCGCGGGCGCTGGGCCGCAGGGCTAACCTCAGGGCAGCCCACATGACAGCCAGCAGGGAGCGAAGGACCACCGCCTGAGAGGGGCCCGGGCACGCTCAGAGTCGGTTCTTTCCCCTCCGGATTCCCGGATTCGGACTACCGCTCCGCTCTCCTTGCAGCCCCAAACCTCCCGAAACCTCCCAGGTTCTCAGGCCAGCCGAGGCACGTGTCTGCGCACGCCGGCCGTAACAGGTCGTCGCTGCGCACCACGCCCCCTGAACTCAGCCAATCAGGGCAGAGGCGCAGCCCCGCGAGGTCCTGTCACCTCGCGAGCTCGGGAGCTCCGCGGTCCAGAGGCGGAGCTACCTTGGTTACCACCCCTCCTCTCTCGGGGCTGAGCTGGCCCGGTAAGGTTCGGTTTCCCTGGGATCCGTCTCAGTTCCTTTTCTACGTGCTGTTTTCTTCTTACCCTGTTAATAGAAAGGGACGTGAAAAATCGTATCCTTATATGAGAGCTGGAAACTGAACAGGCATCAAGCTGCCCTAAGAAACAAAACTCTGTAGAGGAGATACATATTTATTCATTCAACAAATATTTCTTCAGTGTCTCCCTGTGTCCGTTGCTTTTCTGGCGCTGGGTCTTAAAACTTCGTGAGTCTTCCGGCTTTGTCTTCTTTTTCATGTTTTCTCGTTTCGTTTTGTTTTTGTTTTCGGCTATTTAGAACCAGTTTCTTGAGATTCCGTATTATTTTTAGTACGGGTTTTTTCTGCAAAAAAAAAAAAATGTCATTGGGGTTTTGGTAGGAATTATATTGAATCTGTTGCTCACCTTTGCATAGTATTGACATTTTAACAGTATTAAGTTTTACGATCCATGGACATGGATGTGTTCCCATGTATTTGTGTCTTCCTTAATTTCTTTTAGCAATGTTTTGTAGTTTTCATTGTGCAAGTCTTTTTTTTTTTTTTTTAAGATTTTATTTATTTATTTGAGAGAGAGAAAGAATGAGAGACAGCATGAGAGGGAGGAGAGTCAGAGGGAGAAGCAGACTCCCCACCGAGCAGGGAGCCCGATGCGGGACTCGATCCCGGGACTCCAGGATCATGACCTGAGCCGAAGGCAGTCGCCCAACCAACTGAGCCACCCAGGCGCCCTTCATTGTGCAAGCCTTACACCTCCTTAATTCCTATTTTATTCTTTTTAATACTATTATAAATGGAATTGTCTTTGTAACTTCCTTTTCAACTTGTTCATTATTAGTGTATAAAAGTGCAACTGATTTTTGTGTGTTGACTTTGTATTCTGTTACTTTGTTGAATTCATTTATTCTAACAATTTTTTCGTGTGTTGGGGGGGGATCTTCAGGGTTTTCTACATATTCATTATCTGCAAAATAATAATTTTACTTCTTTCCTTCTAGTTTGAATGCCTCTTATTTCTCAGTCTTGCCTAATTTCTCTGGCTAGGACTTCCAGTACTAAGTTGACTAGCAGTGACAAAAGTGAACATTCTTTCCTTGTTCCTGATCTTCAAAGGAAAGGCTTTCAGTCTTTCACCACTGAGTATGATGTTTGCTGTGCATTTTTCATATGTGACCTTTATGATGTTAAGGTAGTTTTCTTCTATTCCTAGTTGGGTTTTTTTTATCATGAAAGAGTGTTGAATTTTGTCAAATGCTTTTTCTGCATCAATTGAGACGATCATGTGTACCTTTTTTCTTCTTTATTCTGTTAATGTGGTATATTTCAGTTATCATTCAGCATTTAATATGCTGTTGAATTCATTTCACCAGTACTTTATTGAGGATTTTTGCATCAACATGCATTAGGGATATTGATCTATAAGGTTCTTGTATCTTTGTCTGGCTTTGGTATCAGGATTATGATGGCCTCAGAACGGGTCAGCAAGTGTTACCAATTTTTTGTGAAAGATTGATGTTAGTTCTTTAAATGTTTGGTAGAATTTACCAGTGAAGCCATGAAGTCCAGTGCTTTTCTTTGTCTGGAGGTTTTGTTCTGTTTGAGTTTGGGTTGTTTGTTTTTTTTTTTTTTAATTACTGATTCAGTCTTCTCACTATAGATCTATTCAGGTTTACTGTTTCTTTGTGATGTAGTCTTGGTAGGTTTTGTGTTGGTAGGAATTTGTCCATTTCATCTAGTTATCCAGTTTGTTGATGTCCATTTGTTCATAGTGTTCAGTTTACTTTTTACTTTAGGGAATACAATATTTCAACTTTCATGATGGAAATAAAGATGTTTTTACTTCTTTCTCTCATAAATGATCCCAAGGCAACAAAGGAACACCAAAAAAGAATTCATATCCCACCTTCAATTAAAGTAGGAGATATGGGGCACCTGGATGGCTCAGTCAGGTAAGCCACCAACTGACTCTAGATTTCGGCTCGGGTCACGACCTCAGGGTGGTAAGATCGAGCCCCACGTCAGGGTCTGCACTGGGTGTGGAGCCTGCTTGGGATTCTCCCTCCTTCTCTCCCTGCACCCCTCTCCTTGCGTGTGTACTCAGCCTCTCTAAAAACCAAAATAAAGTAGGAGACATATGAAGACAACAGGCAAAAATAGGAATAATTTAGCAGGAAAAAAGGAAGCTGAAATCTAAGTGCTTGCAGTGGAAGATAAAAACAAGTAACAAGTCGATTTGCCTCCCAGAAATCCCTGCAAGGCTCAGGAATTGGTGGTACTGAGAACAGAGGAAGGTGTGGGTAGGTGTGGGGAGAGGTGGGAGAGACCAAGAGACAGTGAAACTACTTGAAAATCTGTATAAGCAGTAGTTAGAACCCTAGGTTTCCACTCCCACTTTGCCCAGGAGATAGGAGATATATAGTATCTGAAGAAACTGAATCACAGATGTTCCAAATATCGGGACACTAGGCAAGAGTGAAGTGCCAGATTGAAACCAACAAGATTAACTGAAAGTCTGGAGGCCAATTCAAGAAATTCCATTCCCCAGCTCCCTTTTTCCTCCAAGTTCTAAAATGCTGGCTACCAGGTTTATATAGGAAGGAATCTAGAGACACCTTACCACTTCACAGAAAGGGTAGAGTGATATTTGAGGTTTCCCAGTGGAAAAGCTCCTTGGAAAATAATGCACCTACAGTGTAACCTACAGATTGACATATCCTATCTACACTTCAGTAAGCTTGTAAAAGTTCCCAATCAACTTTTTAGAAAATTTCTCTAACAGATGCATGGATAGCCAAGGATCAACAGGCATTTGAGGAAAGTTTTCAAAATGAAAAAAAGACCCCCACCGCAACCAAGAAAGCCTCAGAAGAAACCAGCAGTACAAGGAACAGAAGAAACTGTAACTTCCTTAGAGAAATGAAAAAACATTGCATTCATGAAACAAGAACAGGATTATGAAAAAAATTAAGATTTTGGAAATAAAAATATGAGACCAAGAATTTTAAAAATCTGTAGAAGGGAAGGAAATGTGGAAATAAAATTTTAAGCCTCGTTTCCAATTTAAACCTTGGCTAGAAAATGTAATCAAAGCTAGAGATTATAAACTTTGTAGCCATTTAATGAGAAATTATTAGGATGGGAAAACAGATGTTATAAGGAGACTAGATAACTCTGCTAGCCGCTAAATTTATTAGATACATGAGGTTAGCAATTGTTTCCTGGTTGGCATTAAATTTAAGTTCATTATTTGGGGTGCTTGGGTGGCTCAGTCAGTTGGGCATCTGCCTTCTGCTCGGGTCATGATCTCATCGAGGTCCTAGGATCCTAGGATCGAGCCCTGTGTTGGGCTCCCTGCTCAGTGGGGAGTTGGCTTCTCCCTCTCCCTCTGCCCCTCCCCCCTGCTTGTGCGCTCCTTCTCTCTCTTGGACGCTGTCTCTCTCAAATAAAATCTTTAAACAATTTAAGTTCATACTTAATGTTATACTTATTTAAAATTTTAGTAGTTTATACTTACCCTGTGTATCTTATCATTATAATTGAGTTTCTGTCTGCTGTGGTGAGATAGCATTCTATAATATTGAAAGGCTTGCTTTAATATCTCCGAGGCTTGGTTTGAAACCTTAAGACTAGGCACCTGGGTGGCTCAGTTGGTCATGATCTCGGGGTACTGGGATCAAGCCCCACATCTCTCAAATAAAGTCTTAAAAAAAAACCCAAAAACCTAGTCGGATGTTATAGAAAATGCCATTGTTAAAATCTTAATTGTAATACAAAAATCAGTTGTTTTTGAATATTTCAGCAATAAACAATTAGAAAAGAACATTTTAAAATCCATTTATAATGGTATCAAAGAACACCAAGTACTAGGGAGCCTTGGTGGCTCAGGTGATAGAGCAATGCAACTCTTGATCTTGGGGTTGTGAGTTTGAGCCCCATGTTGGGTGTAGAGATTATTTAAAATCTTAAAAAAAAAAGTACTTAAAAGTGTATCTAACAAATGAGGTGATATTGCTGTGTATTTACAATACAAACATGTCTACAAATAGATTTGTACAAGAATATTTACATAGCTTTATTGAAGACAGCCAAAATTTGCAAATAATCCTGTAGGAAAATGGACAAAATTAGGGTGTGTTCATATAATGTGGTATACTCATAAAATGGAATACAACTCAGCAACAAAAGCAAACAACTACTAACAGGGATGAATCCCAAAAACATATTGAGCAAAAATAACTAAATACAAAAAAAAAAAAAAAAATGCATGGTATGTGATTGTGGTCCACAAAGTTTAAGAACAGGCTAACCTACTCTTTGTGGATGAGAGTGGAAGGGGCTTAAGGGAACTTCTTAGGGTGATGGAAATGTTTTGTGGGGTGGTTACAGAGGCATATGTATTGTCAGTACTCAAACTGAGTATGTAAGATCTATTTATTTTATTAAATGCAAACTATGCGTTAAAAACATTAACTGAAGAAAACAGTGTTGACTCAAAATTATGAACCAAGTCAAAGGATGATAGTTTTACCTGATGACTCACATTCTGTGATTTGATTCTATAAATTTGTTAGAAGCATCAAGACTGTCTTGGCCTTCTACCAATTTTGTGACTAACAAAGTCACTTCTAAAAAGAAAGAGATGCTTAAATTTTTCTCCAGAAGTCAAAATTGAGACAATCTCCCCCTCCCCAAAACAGGAACAAAACAACAAAAATGAAGAAAAGAAAGAGGAGGGAGGGAAGAAGAAATGGAAAGTAGTAGAGAAAAGATAACTTAGGGAGCCAATAGAAGTGGTAAAAAAGATTAATAGAGGGGCGCCTGGGTGGCTCAGTCGTTAAGGGCCTGCCTTCGGCTCAGGTCATGATTCCAGGGTCCTGGGATCGAGCCCCGCATCGGGCTCCCTGCTCGGCGGGAAGCCTGCTTCTCCCTCTCCCACTCCCCCTGCTTGTGTTCCCTCTCTAGCTCTCTGTCAAATAAATAAATAAAATCTTAAAAAAAAAAAAAAGATTAGTAGAAATTGCAGATATGAGAACAGTGAAAATGGAAGGGACAAAATTATCAAAAACAGTAATTCAAGAACATTTCCCAGGCAAAATTATCAAAACAATAATACAAGAACATTTTCCAGAAGGGAAATAAATGAGTTTCCTTATTAAAAAGGTCCATTAAGTGTCCAACAGCATGAATGTAGGGGCAGGAAAGGAGGGCAGGCTTACACCAAAGCTCACTATTGTGCAGAATACCAGGTCAAAAACCTGTAAATAGGCAAGCCACATTCAGAGGATAGGGAATCAGAATGGCACCAAACTTAAAAACACTGAAAACTGGCAGACAATGGAGCATGCCTTCAAAATGATGTAAAAATTATTTTCAAATTATTCAGGAATTCTATTCATAGCCCCACTGAGAGTAGAATAAAGAAATTTCAGATACAAAGTTTTAAATAATGTTATCACCCATGTACCCTTTTGCAGTAAACAGTGGAAGATGTGCCTTCCAAAACAAATCAAGAAAGACAATGGCATGGGCTCAAGAAACAGAATCTAAACCAGGAAAGAGAGGTAGGAAGTTCAGAGTAATGGCCGAGGGAAGTCTCATGTGGACAGCTGTACTGCACATAGAGATCTGTAAAGCCCCTAGTCCAGTTTACAACAGGAAGAGCGAGCTCCAGAAAGTTTTCCATGAAAAAAAAGAAGAAAACACTTTATCTGATGGTTTGGCCATGTGGAAAATTATATGCAGAGGCATTTTACACACTTGCTGGAGGGTGTGGAAAGTTAAAACAAAACCCAAAGCAAATGAAAAAGTGAAGCAATTAACTCCAAGAAAAACAAAAGCTTCTACCATGTCACCTTAGTACATAAAGTGGTACAGCACTGAATAATTACAATTAATGCAATAACAATACTAAATATGGACTAAACCTTATGATTAACATATTAAGAGGGAAGCAAGGAGGGGAGTTTTAAGAAAGCTAAATTTTTTTTTTTTTTTTTAAGATTTTATTTACCTGGAGAGAGAGAGAGACAAGTAGGGTGAGCAGCAGGCAGAGGGAGAAGGAGAGGCAGGCAGCCTCCTCACTGAGCGGGAAGCCCAAAGAGGGGCTTGATCCCAGGACCCTGGGATCATGACCTGAGCCCAAGGCAAATGCTTAACTGACTCAACCACCCAGGTGCCCCAAGGAAACTAAAATTCTTAAGTACCATGACAGAAAGTCAGTTAACAATGTCTAACATTGTAAATTCTGTAAATAACAGAATAACCATATTTAGAAATAGGTAGTAACAGAAGAAACAGCTTGTCTGAAAATATAGCACTACTTGACTTTTTAAGCCATGTATAATAATTTTTAAAAATATGAAATAATGCATACTAAAAGGTTAGTACTGTGTCTAGCATAAGAAATAGTAGCCTGTTGTTTTAAAAAAGTGTTTTTAAAAATCTGGGGGAGTAGAAATGAGGGTAAAAATATAGAATGAGTTTAGTACATAACTCATGTGATGTGAAGTATTTTATCTTGCTATAGGTTGACCCTAAATTTAGCTTTGCATTGAAAAAGAAAATATTACAAGGATTCACACAGCCCATATTAAAAAAAAAAAAAATCAGACCAGTTGAACAGAAGCCCAATTATTCCTGGCACTGAAGCCAAAGGAGAAATTCTCATAGGTAGGATTCTCATAGGTAGAATATTGGGTGATATGATTTCTTAAAACTCTGTAATATCATTACAGTAAAAATATGAATTTCTTTAGGCTTTTATTCTATTTCACATAATGTCTCTAAACACAAGCAGACAAACAAAGTAGGCAGTTCATATATATAGATAGCTCTTTGATGAAATGACCAAATTCAAGATAAAAATTCTGTCCTGGACTTCAGAAGTCCAGGATTATATTATACACAGGACTAAAGATTCCCATTTGTCTTTCTCTACAGAGAAAACGAAGTAGGAAGAAAAAAGAGTAAAAGAGATTGAGTTCTTATATCTAAAAATTCATTATATCAGGAATAAATGAACAAGAAAGCAACTCTTCACATGTCCTGAATGGGAGGGAGGGGGAAGTCTATTCTTTATTCTTACAAGATCAAAAAAATATCCTTCACAGCATGCATATAAGACAAAAGATTAATTCTTCCAGTTATATTTTTATAGAAGAAAGGAAGTATATGCTGTAGGTGAAAAACTGACAAGTTTTGGTTAAACAGTAATATCTTTAAGTCATTTGAAAAGAAAAAGACAAAAATAGTATAAAATAACTTTTATTTACATAATTTATATCTATAGAACATAACTGCTTTCTTTAGAACAAGAAAATTTACAAATGACAGAAATTGCTTTTTTGTCAAAAACTCCTTCAAGCAAGAGAGTATCCATGGTCACTTCTATTTCGAATAACATGGCGGTAAATAGTGGATATTCATATTTTTAACTGTGCCTTAATCATTTACTAACAATTAGGCTTTTAAAACCATCATGTTGACCACTTTCTAAGACATAAGTATTCAGGAAGAAAAGTCAAGAAAACAAAGACCACTATTCATACCACCTTTAAGATTTACAAAATAATTCTTCACATCATCATCTTTACATGAATATAAACAAAGGGTGTGACTAATTCTTTCCACCTTGTAAGGTAAATACAATGATTAAGTTTCTTACTTTCCCAGATTAGTTTTAAGGATGTAATAGTAGGATAATTTAGCTTGGCTGACTTGATTCTCTTACGCAATGAATGCCCAAAGATAAAATTTCATATATAGTAAGAAGTTATATCTTCCATAAAATGAATTCATTATAGATGAACAAGAGACAGATGTTAACAAAGTTAAAAAATAAATATTACACAAGGGATAAAACAATAGTTTAACTGTGGCAACCTAACATCCAAAGTAACATTAATTAAATGAAAGAAACTTTCAGAATATGAGACTTTAAAAAATTTGTAAAAACGGCATTAAAATAGCAATGTGATTTACTACCATGATTTTTGTGACATATTAATCCCATGAAATAAATTAATGCATACCTATTGAGAATTTTCACTCAGATTTATAGATCCTCCTTTATGACAAAAAAGTTAAATTGTAAATTTCACTATAAAGCAATGAATAAGAAATGCTCTAATAGCAATTTTAGGATTATTGTAACACTTGCTGAGCCATATCCTATTTTACTAATGAACTTGAAATTTGGCCACTATTTTTTTCAATATATAAACACAATTATCTAGACATTAAAATATCTTCCCAGTTGAAATACTGATCATTTTGTAATGCAATCAACACAGTTTTGTGATGCACAACTTACAACTTGAATGACAAATATGTATGTCGTAGATAAAACGTCAGCACCTGAAGGTAAGAAAATTACTGTCTAATGTAGGGGTCAAACGAAAAGCCCATTCCAGACATGTCAATCCCTTCAGTATTGTTTGTGGCTGTTTTCAGCAGCACTGAAACAGCAGAATTGAACAGTTGCCACAGGGGCCATGTGGCCCACAAATTCAAGAATATTTTGCAGAAAATGTTTCTGACTCCTGCTCTGAGGCTTTTCAAATAAAAGAAGAAATCTGTTTTTGAGAAGTTTGATTTGAACCACCAAAGATCTGCTTGGGTGGATAATGGAATTACATATGTAAATAACAAAATTTCAAAATTAAAAACAACCCTTAAATTAATATTGATGATAATCACTGACTAAAGTCTTATTATCTTATTTTCTGTTTTAACATCACAATTATGTTCTGTGCTTAAAGGCCTAAGTGTTCCTTAAGCAAAATTTAATGGGGGAAAAAACTATCAAGAAATTAGTTTTTAAAAAAAGGAATGTGTGTGAGTGTGTACGTGTGTGTGTGTGTGTGTGTGTAAAAGGGACTGAATTTTGAATGTAAATCTCCCTCATAAATTAAGGGTTTTTCCCCCCATACAAATCCTGAGATTATCCAAAAAATAAGAAAAACAAGAACTTCACAGTACAAATTCAATATACTAAACTATGAGAAAAAAATGTATTCAAAACATATCTACTACCCAAATACTTTTAGTGATATAACTTTAAATATCTTTAAAATTAAAGAGGGAAATGGGACAAACATAAATTTGTCAATGTCTTCTTTACCCATAATCTGAGTGGTGAAAATAATTAAAACTGAATATTCTTTTAAATAAAAAATTTAAAAATAAATAAACTTTTTGATGTTTCATCTTTATAAATAAGTTTAAATACTACTTGTTCAATTAGGACTAATGTTAACATCAACATGAAATTAGAAAAATACATATTTTCCAGTCAAATAGCTGATAATAGAGAAGTTTTTAACATTTACCATTCTAAAGTGGAGTTTCACAATATGCTTTCATATACTTAGAGGCAACTGTAAAGCCCTTCAGCAAAACAAATAAAAAACAAAAAACAAAACCCAAAAAAACCCAGAAAAAAACCTTTACAAAAGAAGTTCGCTAAATGCTAAATACAATCCACCTCCAAATACTCGGCACTGTGATTTATACAGAGACAGTTATCCACAACATTCCAAAATGTCCATGGTGTGTTCAGCACAGGAGAGTCAAAATGTAAACAAGAGAAGCTATTTCTGTCTGAGAAGCAGTCTCAATTGCTTTGTATTTCCAAAATGCTGAATCAATCAGAATGAAAGGAACCTCAGCAATGTTTTCCACTGATTATAAGAGCTTCAAATCAAGCTCATTAGATATTCAAAATCAATCTAAAGAAAAATAGCCAGTGATGCATTTTCTAAATACTGCTTAGTTGATATTTGACTCTGGAAATCCTAGACTTAAAAAAAATTAAAAAAAAAAAAAAGACTTTTATTCTGTTTCATCTACTTCGATAAAGATATCACTAAAGAAATATTCAGAGACTGTGGTTGGCTCCTCTTCAGGTACCCGGTTTTGGCCACTTTTACATTCTTCTTTTGGTAAGGGAGGATCACAAGAAACCTAAAAAGATAGTATTAATAAGTATGCAGTATAACATTTATATATTGGTAGTGGTCATCTAAATTGTTATCTCTTTGAAAAGCAATATAATGATAAGTATTAAGGGCTTTAAATATGTTCATACTCTTTGACCCAATAATTTCATTTCTGTGCTGTTATATTAGGGAAATAATACTAAACAGAGTGAGAATTTTATGAGTAAGATAACCTTTGAAGCATTAGTTAAAATAATAAAACTGGACACAACAAACACACAACAGTGGGCATGATAAGATTAATTACAGTGTACACACGATCCATTATTTTACCCTAATTCCCATGAAAAAAAAATTTTTTTAAAGATTTTATTTATTTATTTGAGAGAGAGAGAATGAGAGAGAGTGGGGAGGGTCAGAGGGAGAAGCAGACTCCCTGCCGAGCAGGGAGCCCGATGCAGGACTCGATCCAGGGACTCCAGGATCATGACCTGAGCCGAAGGCAGTCGCTTAACCAACTGAGCCACCCAGGCGCCCAGCCCATGAAAAAATTTTAATACAGAAAAGCATAACATCAAATCTATTATGAAACATTTTAATAATCTGCATAAGAATACAGACCCACAAAACAGAACAGTACCCCAAGGCAACTACAAATTAAAGCAATCCTATCGGGGTGCCTGGGTGGCTCAGTGGGTTAAGCTTCTGCCTTCAGCTCAGGTCATGATCCCAGGGTCCTGGGATCAAGCCCCGCATCAGGCTCCCTGCTCAGTAGAAAGCCTGCTTCTCCCTCTCCCTCTGCTGTTCCCCCTGCTTGTGTGCTCTCTCTCTTGCTGTGTCTCTGTCAAATAAATAAAAAATATATTTTTTAAGATTTTATTTATTTATCTGACAGAGAGAGACACAGCGAGAGAGGGAACACAAGCAGGGGGAGTGGGAAGGGAGAAGCAGGCTTCCCGCCGAGCAGGGAGCCTGATGCGGAGCTCGATCCCAGGACCCTGGGACCATGACCTGAGCCGAAGGCAGACGCTTAATGACTGAGCCACCCAGGCGCCCTAAATAAAATCTTGAAAAAAATATATTTAAAGCAATCCTATCAAAAGTTAGCATACTTAGAAATTTATAAAAAATTAAGACAACATGGTATTGTCATTGGAACAGACATATATCAATGAAAAAGACTAGAAATATCCCCAACACATATACTGCAAAATTTAGTATGAGAAAAGTTGGATTATTTAATAAATGATGTTGGACAACTATATAACCATCTCAGAAAAAAAGAAGTCAAACCAAAATTCTAGATGAATCAAACGATTTAAATGTAAAAACATTTTTTTAAAAAATCTACTCTAGGGGTACCCGGGTGGCTCAGTCTGTTAAGCATCTGCATTCAGCTCAGGTCATGATCTCAGGGTCCTGAGATTGAGCCCTACGTCCGGTCCCTTCCTGCCCAACCTCCCCCCGGCCCCAGCCCCTGCTCATGCTCTCTCTCCCAAATAAATAAATCTTAAAAAAAAAAAAATCTACTCTAAAATACCATGGGAAAACATTTTAATAATCCTGGACTGGAGGAGAGGGAGTATCTTTTTAAATGACCTGAAAGGCAGAAGTCATAAAAGACTGATAAATTCACCTATGTAAAAATTTTAAAAATGTCCACATGGCAAAAACTACTGGACACAAAATCAAAAGACAAATGACATATAGGTTTAAAAATATATATACGTATGTGTGTGTGTATATATATATATATAACACCATTATCACAAAGGGTTTTATTTTTTTTTTTAAGATTTTTATTTATTTATTTGACAGAAAGAGAGATTGCGAGAGCAGGAACACAAGCAGGGGGAGTGGGAGAGGGAGAAGCAGGCTTCCCACAGAGCAGGGAACACAATGCGGGGCTCGATCCCAGGACCCCGGGATCATGACCTGAGCCAAAGGCAGATGCTTAACTGAGCCACCCAGGCACCCCAAAGGGTTTTCTTTTCTTTTCCTTTTTTTTAAGATTTTATTTATTTATTTGACAGAGAAAGACACAGCGAGAGCAGGAACACAAGCAGGGGGAGTGGGAGAGGTAGAAGCAGGCCTCCCGCTGAGCAGGAAGCCCGATGTGGGGCTCGATCCCAGGACCCTGGGATCATGACCTGAGCCGAAAGCAGATGCTTAATGACTGAGCCACCCAGGCGCCCCA